TAAACTCTCCTTTGATTAATGCTATTTCTCACCCCTCCTGGGAAGTCAGATGGATAATAAATATTACAAGCACATCCCTCTATATTACTTGGAGAACACCAGCTGCTAGGTCACTTAATACAAATGTATCATCTAAATTCATGAACATGGCAATGCTGTTCAAAATTTTTAATCTAATAGAGACTGAACTCTATCAATCAGCCTGTCCACTTCATAGCCAAAGATTGGAGGTAAGAAGTTTTCCATGGTCTAATTAATATCATGATAAGTGAAAAAAAAAAAAAAAAAGAATTATCCTTTTAAATCTTTCAGTCTATTAAACTCAGTCTCAAAAATAAGTCCCTAAACTTTCACCAAATTACGTGAGTATAACTGGCAGCAATAAGAGTGTCAAGAAATATCCTGTGATTTGGAGATCAAGAAAGTTATAAAAAGATGCTAGAATATGACAGGATCTATGGAGAGCAGGGCAGCTACAGTTCAATATTATCTTTAAAATCCATGAAATAGAAATAAAGGAAGTTAAGAGTACTGGAGTTAATTGGGTGATAATGGATGTCTAGGTGGTCTCTAGCAAGACATAAAAACAGAGAGCTTAAGTGGGGAGCTCAACATCCATATTCTTGAGAGTAGTTAGATGTGGAGGGAAAGGGGAAAACAAAGCAATGGTAAAGGGAAAGCACCAGGTGTGTATAACACAGACATAGGCACAGGAGCAAAATAGTTGGTAGTTAGCATTGAACTCTGAGTTCAAATCCTCTCTCTATCATTTAGCAAATGTGTGGCCTTGGACAAGATACTTAACCTCTTTGTCCTTCTATTTCCTCATTTGAAAAATAGTGATGTAAGTATGTTGGAAGGATTAATTCATGCATGTAAAGAACAAAGAACAGGGCTTGGCACATAACAAACTCTCAATAAACAATAATTATTATTTTTTTTGGTTCTTCCCTTCACCTATGTTGTTTGTTTCCCTTCCAAACCAAAACTAAACTCACTGCCGTCGAGTCGATTTGGACCCGTAGCTATCGCTCTTTGGTTTTCCGAGGTGGTTGTTGTTGTTGTTAGGTGCTGTCAAGTCATCTCCGACTCATAGTGACCCTATGTACAGCAGAACAAAACACCTCCCGGTCCTGAGCCAGCTCCATTATCCCCGCTATACCTGAACCCATTGTTGTAGCCACTGTGTCAATCATCTTGTTGAGGGCCTTCCTCTCTTTCATTGACTTTCCACTTTACCAGGCATGATTTCCTTCTCCAGAGAATGGTCCCTTAAGACCTAACCAAAGTAGGTAAGACTAAGTCTGGCAATTCTCACTTCCAAGAAGCATTCTGGCTGCACTTCGTCCAGGATAAATTTGTTAGTTCTTTTAGCAGTCCATGGTATGTTCGGCATTCTTTGCCAGCACCACAACTCAAAAGCATCGACTCTTCTTTGGTCTTTTTTATTCATTGTCCAGCTCTTACTTGTATATGAGGCAATTGAAAATATCATGGCTTGTGTCAGGTGCACCTTAGTCCTCAAGGAGATATCTTTGCTCTTCAGCACTTGAAAGAGGTCGTTTGCGGCCAATTTGCCCAGTGTTATACGTCATCTGATATCTTGACTGCTGCTTCCATTGGTTTTGATTGTAGAACCAAGTAATAGGAAGTCTTCAACAACTTCAGTCTTTTCTCCACCTATTGTGATGTTGCTTATTGGTCCAGTTGTGAGGATTTTTGTTTTCTTTATATTGAGATGTAATCCACACTGCAAACTGTATTCTTCAATCTTCATCAGTAAGAGTTTCAAGTCATCCTCACTGTCAGCAAGCAAAGTCATGTCATCAGCATATCACAGGTTATTAATGATTCTTCCTCCAATCCTAATGCCATGTTCTTCTTCATATGTGATTCTTTGCTCAGCACACAGATTAAGTATGGGGAAAGGATACAACCCTGACATACTCCCTTCCTGATTTTAAACCATGCAGTGTTCTCTTTTTCTATTTAAACAGCAGCCTCCTGGTCTATGTACAGGTTCCTCATGAGTATAATTAAGTGTTCTGTACAATTAAGAATTTCCATTCTTCTCAAATGCTGTCCACAATTTGTTATGATCCACAAAATCAAATGATTTTGTATAGTCAATAAAACACAAGTAAACATCTTTCTGGTATTCTTAGCTTTCAGCCAAGATCCATTTGACATTAACAATGATATCCCTTGTTCTACATCCTCTTCTGAATTCAGCTTGCATTTCTGGAAGTTCTCTGTCTACATACTGCTGCAACCATTTTTTAATTATTTTCAGTATGATTTTACTTGTGTGTGATATTAATGATATAGTTTGATAATTGCCACATTATATGGGACCACCTTTCTTTGGAATGGGTACAAATATGGATCTTCCCATTTCTCTGTCAGTTATTTGAGGCAATTGGGCAGCAAGAGAATGAGCTATATATGCTCCCTGTAAAATCTCTTCTGTACCTCAAAACTCACTCAAAGAGAGGGAGAATGAGCCAATAACCTCTTTGGTGCCAACTTAAATATGGCAGAGGAAAGAGCACTTGATATCTAAGTTCTATTTGGAGCTCTTTCAGAACACAGAAACAGAATTTGAATAAATTAACTTTTGTACATGTCACTTTTCTTTTCTTCAAAATGATGGTGTAGAATTAAAACACAAGTCCATAAATCAAAAGCTTGTAGGGTTCAGATAAGAACAAATACATAAAGGAGTGCCAGTATGAGACACTAGGAAGTGGTTAGGGACTCTGGAAAACTGAAAGCACAGTCCCTGACTAAGGGAGCCAACAGCTATTCATCACCTGCCAATTTACATTCAAGAATTCAGATTTGGTATCTTCCATATTTTTTCAAGAAAAGCCAAAATTCCTGTATTTAAGTGAAATATTGGAATTTAATATTGGCCTAAATTACTTCAACACATTATGTAGGTAAACAAATCATGACTAAAAAGTGAATATTTTCCACTGGGCCTTCTTTTGTGACCCTTCTTGTCTCCAAAGATAAGATTGTCTTTATATCTAAGTCTGCCACCCAATCACATTTTTTTTAAATTATTTCCCCCCCTGTAATCTTCTCTGACAATGATATAATTGCTTCAATAATATGAAAGCTGAAAGAAGTATTTGGCAAACAAATACATGCAATGCATTCATTCTATAGATAAGCAAAACTGCTACTGAATAGGAAATGCTGTTCAAAATGTGATTCACTTTGAAATAAATCATATCCCAAATCCTGGAGATTGAGTTGTACACACTAAGAACATCTGCGTTTGGTTTTGTTTACCTGCAAAATCAAGAATTTTTAGTGCTCCTAAATAGCAATAGGGAAAAAAAAAAATGTTATTGCAAGTCTCCTAAGCAGAATTGTATAATGAAATAGATGTAGAAACTTTTCCCAAAATGTATCTTTTTAATGGAATAAATACATAAATAATAGAGAGCTAGAAAATAAGATGAGGGAAACCACTGAGCAAAGGGGAAAAAAAGTGAGATATTCGAAAGATGGGAGGGTAAGAAATTATAATTTATGCCATGATGAGAATTAATGTCAGCTTCTGGGTCAGGATTAAAGTGAATTTGCCAAAGCATTCTGAGTTAACACAATTATAGCTTGGGATTGTCATAAAGCCTTTACCAAAAGAAAATCATTGTTCTGTGCAAACAAGTACCTTTGAAAACATCTTTTGTGAGCTTCTTTTACAGTAATAGGAATATATAAGTTTGACAGATATTTTTCTATTAATAATATGCAGCAGGCTTTCCACTAAAAAAGGAAAGATCTCAGAAAATAGTTATAAGTTCTTCAATCTCTATAGTCACGTCTTTAGGAGAAAAACATTATTTAGAGCTCTGTCACCAGCATATTGTTCTCTGAATCAGAAATAATTTTCAACAGACTAGATTATACTCTTACTAGTGTATCAAAGTCCCTAAATTTTTATAGAGTGAGGTTTTTACTTTTCTAATTGAGTTTGTACAAAAATGGTTGAATTATTGTGTGGCTTTTATTCTGCCATTTTATTTAACATGTGTTTGTGACCCAGTATTTATGATTCAGCAATGCCAAAGCTAGAAATATTTTGTCCCTCTTAGAGAGTGCAAACTAAAATAAAGTGCACTTCCCGATGTCTGCCAGTTAAATATTGTGCATTTCTTTGAAAAAACAGTAAGAAATGTCACTGAGTGCAAAAACAGATGACAAAGTAGTTTTGAGCAACAGCACGGAGACCTTCAAGGACTTTCCCTTTTGACTTGTATGGATCTTAAAAGTCAATGTATACCTTTTCAGTATCATGATTCATAATACATTTTTTATATAATCATGGAAATAGAGCTTTGTACTTGAACAACAAAAGAAAATTTAATGAAATTTAAGCTCTATTTTCTTTGTGCCTTCATTTGGGTGAAAAATAAAACAAGACACAATTATCAGTGATATTTGGTGAATGTTTTAAGTGCCAAACACTAAACATTTTGTATGAATTATTCCATTGAAACTAACTTCAAAAATCTGTGAAGTATATAATCTTATTATCCCAATATTACAGATGAAGGAACTGGAGTTTATAGAGAAGTAAAGCAAAATGCCCAAATATAAATAGATAAATACACATATTTTAAAAAGCCAAAAAGCAAAAGACTGACCTAGACTCTATATCCTTTTCTTTTGATCATTATGCTAGATTAACAGTAATGTCAGATAATTTAACTTCTCCAGAAATGTCCTAGCTAATCCAAGAATAAAGATCTTTCTTATTAGTCTTGACAGATTTGTACGTAATTGGTAATGTGTTGATGAAACTAGATCCAAGCATAGAAATTAAAAAAGTAATCTTTATATCTTGTTGTGTTTGTCATAATTACCACAGCACTTTATTTTAAAAATAAGATAAAAGGAAGTTAGCATCTGCAGATTTAGTTGCAATGCTTTGATCAACCTAACTTGCTACAGTCAAGGTTTATTATCCCCTTTTCTTCATACAGAACCCAGTGCTGCTCCCACAGATGTCAAGGCTACAAGTGTGTCTGTGTCAGAGATTCTTGTTGCATGGAAACATATTAAAGAGAGCTTAGGAAGACCACAGGGATTTGAGGTATGTATAGAATTCTTGAAAATAAACCTTGCTATTTCTACTGGCTCTGTATTCTACTACAAAGATGGTTTGGTTGACACTTCAACTGAGTTATATTCCTTTGAAAAAATGTTTTATATTAAGGAAAGTCTGAAATGCACTTTTCTACTGATATAAATTATGTAGCTCATTAACTGGCTTATTTTTCAGTACAGCAGTTCCCATAGCATCATTCAAATTGTTGCTGTTATTGTTGTTATGTGCCATCGAGTAGGACCCGACTCAGAGCGACCCTTCCTTGGGTTTCCGAGACAGTATCACTATGGAAGTAGATTGCCCCATCTTCCTTCCGAGGAGTGGCTGGTGGGTTTGAACTGCCAGCCTTCTAGTTAGCAGACAAGTGCCTTAGACACTACGCTACCAGAGCTCCCATCATCCAAATATATACAAGAAACAACTAGACTGTTAGCTAAAATCAGGAACCACAGGTGGGTATTTTCTGATGTCCAATTTATTGATGTTTAAAAATGATTCTGTTTCTTTGTTTCTGATTATTTAATGCATAAAAATAAAGTTTTCCTTTCGTGCTTGCTTAACAAGTCTTACCTCCATAACTGAATTCTCCAAACATATGTTCAGAACTTAGTAATTTGTCTCTATTTTGTAGAACTAAAATGATTTTTTTGACCCTTAAATTTTGCTATTTGTAACACAATCATGTTAACCATATAACCATGAACAGTTTATATTAATTCAGTCCTCCCAAGGAGATTTTAAACTCCACATGGACTACTGTGGGTGGTCTGTATACTTGCTTGTTTCATGTTACCAAAACTCCTGCTTCTCAAACAACTCTTGTTCTTGCTTTACTTGACCAGCCTGGAAATAAATAAATTCATCTAATAGTTAATTGTATTTGAAAATGACACCAAGACCATTCAACAGAGAAAGAATAGCTTTTTCAACAAGTGGTCCTGAGACCACTAGATAGCCACTTAAAAGAAAAAACTGAAACTAAAAAGCAAATGTGAATACCTATACCACCTTAGAATTGAAAGATAAATTAAAATGAACCAAAGACCTAAACTTAAGTGCTAAAACTATAAAAATCATCAGAAAGTCAAACTGGTGTAAATCTACGTAATTTTGGATTAGGCGATCTGTGGTTTCTTATATATTACACCAAAAAGCACAAGCAACTAAAGAAACCATGCTGTTGTTCTTATGTGCCCTCGAGTCAGCTCCGACTCACAGCGCCCCTCCTTGGGTTTCCGGGGCAGTATCACTACGGAAGTAGATTGCCCAACCTTCCTTATGAGGAGTGGCTGGTGAATTTGAACCACCAGTCTTCTGGTTAGCAGTCAAGTGCCTTAGGCACTATGCTACCAGAGCACCCATAGATTAAAAACAAAAATTATCAAAAGTAAAAACTTCCAAGTATCAAAAGACACTATCATTAAAAACAGAAATAGAAACAGATTGTTGTTATTGTTGTTCTTAAGTAGTGTCGAGTCGTTTCCGACTCATAGCGACCCCATGCACAGCAGAACGAAACACTGCCCAACGCCGCCACCATGTCAATCCATTTTGTTGGAGGCCTTCCCCTCTTTCGTTGACCCTCCACCCTCCACCCTACCAAGCATGACATCCTTCTCTAGGGAATGGTCCCTTCTTACAACATGACCAAAATAGGTGAGACGAAGTCTGGCCATTCTTGTTTCCAAGGAGCATTCTGGCTGCACTTCCTCCAGGA